AAACCCGGGTGTCTCGCCATAAACCCCTCAAGCCAGCTGTCCCCAGGGCCCTTGTCTGGGTCCCAGGGCACCTTGCGCCCGTCGGTGCAGATGTTGCGCACAGCGTCTCTCAGCTCCCTCCGACCCAACAGCAAGAAGTGTCGGGAGGCGTAGATCAAGACGTCTTCTACGAAATCTTCCTCCTCCTTGCTCAGGACAGTCCCGGGACCAACCCTCGCATCTATGGCCACCTTGTTCTTCACACGGTCGTGCAGCGAGGCTAGCGGTAACCCGTAGGTCCTCGCAGCAACGCGGAGCGACATCTCACCGCTGCGTACCGCATCTACAGCCTTCTGGGCCTGCTCTGGGTCTACTCTCTTACGTCCCATGCTTAGCAGCAGGACCCCGAAAAGGGCAAAGATGCCCCACATAAGGGGTGTGGGTGAGGGCTGTGCTGTATCTCGGGAGTGCTTGACCCGATCGACACGCGGAGGTGCTCAAACGAAAGCTAACGGAAAGCTGAAGATTTCAAAAAAAAAATTGGGGGGCTCCGCGCATTGTGCGCCGAGGGACGTGCATTTGAAAAAAGTGTTCGTTAAAGGGGGGGTGTTCGTTAATACCCTGGTTTACTCTACGGTTTAATGTGAAGTCAACAACAACAACAACAACAACAAGGAGCGTGTGGCGTTACAATGCTCGTCCCACAACCGATGGAGGCTGCTCGGAGAATGTTTGGCATTCCTCTACCTTTGGGTGCAATACCAGCAATACAACAACACACACCGAAACGTTCAACTCGAAATGGGCCTAAGTTCGGCGAACCTGGGAGGAAGAGGAGATTCTGGATCTATTGACCGGCAGTGTCCCGGCATACCGTTTGTCTGTAGACGGGTTGTGGCCCCGCGATCGACCGCACGAGTCTCGTCTGCGTCCCCCCTTCGTGTAAGCGTCAACCGTTAGCAATTGGTTGCTGCCGCAAGTTACGCCAACGCAGCCCGGGATACACTCGTATAAAGCCCGTCCGTCAAAACACATACGTCATGGCAGGACCGCGCTCCATCTCTCGGTCGACGAAGGTGGTTGCCACAAGCGGAGCTGGCAAGCACGTCAAGGGGAAAAACAAGCACAAAAACAGGGGGAAAAAAAAGGTGCCGCCGCTCACGAGCTGGGACCATGACAACTCCTCCGCGGCCGAGTCGGATGACGAGGAGCCCACTCCCGCCGGTGCTGGCAAGAAGCGTCCACGAGAGGTAGTTGGTAGAGATAGGGCACAGGCGCAAGCACCGGATGATCAGCGTGCTAGTGTCCTGAAAACCTCTGGCGATGCGTCGAAGAGAAAACGAGTTGCTGGCCATGAAGCAAGCGGTGGTGGAGCCGAAGAGAGGTCTAGCAGTGGCAGCAGCAGCGACGATGGGGAGGACGGCGGAGCAGACGAGGGGGGCGGGGGAAGGAAGGGAAATAGTACGCCTGCTGTGGCCGCGGGTGGCATGGGGGCCGTCATGGCCAGGATTATAGGGCAAAAACTGGACACTCGGGTGCAGGTGAGATAATATCTATCATTCTCCACACGCGTCCATACTCGCGGTACATGTGACAGCAGCAGCACAGCGAGATACATGGATACACTCCGCGTGCTGTCGAACGGCGGAATTCGACCAACAATACACCCAGTATGCGCGTTAAAAGGGAATGATACCTACTCCCGTCTCGATTCTCTGGGTGGAGATGCACTCTCGTGCTACTTCTGTCCTACTTGTTACGCTTGCGACGCAAGAAAACACCCCCCCCCCCAGCGCCAACGAGCATTTGGCTCAACTTCTACGCTTGGACGATAAGATATTGTCACTGGGAATGTTGTATTTGTGGGGAGTATGCCCCCCTTACTGCCTGAAAATAATGTACACCTCGTCACCTTTGGGTGTGCTATCCAACGTGGGTGTGTTTCTTGCGTCAAATACATGTACGACGCGTTCATATACACACTACACACCTTACCATGACGTGTCTTGAGCCCCTTTTTGAGTTGCCGTCATTGGCGTTCCACGATTTGATGCCGCTGCGTGAACCATTTTCTTAGTAGTCAACAACGTATTGGACACTGCTGTTGAATACAACTCCATACGGAACGGGCTCGTCGGTGGCAAGTGGCGCCTGATAACTCAAGAAGAAAAGCATTCTCAGCAGTGCCACGTAGATAGCACTTGCACGAACACAACCTTGACTGAATGTTCGGCCTACGCGTTTCGTGGCACCGTATGGCTTTTCGGGCGGGACGCTGTCCTTTCGATACAACCTTGTGGCGGAACACACCTTCGTGGGGCACGTGGTGTGCTTGTGCGTCCCTCGCCAACCCTCCGCCCACTCGATGCATGTTCTCTTCTACCTCCGCCAAATCTCAGCCACCAATAACCGACGTGGGCGCGCCTGATCCTACCTCCTTTTATTTGTTCGATGTGTCGCAGGCGCCTGTCCTAGCCAAGCGCAAGACGAAGACCATGAAAGAAATGGAAAACGCTTCGGTGAAGCGAGCGGAAACCAGAGGGAAGTCGGCTGCCAGACGAGCAAACATGACGCAGCAGTTCGTCATCCCCGACCACACCACGACAGACTACGAGCGACAGCTCAAGAAGATCGCCACGCGGGGGGGTGAGTTGCTGACTGCGCGTGCTATTGCGCACTCAAAGCGTTTTTTTTGCTCTTTGGTGCACTTGACGCGAGCAACATCTCACCGCAAAGACTTCCAACACATCCCCTTCGACTGTGGTTATGTCTCGAACGGGTAGTCTTTCTGTGTATTTGTCCTGATACCGAGGGAAGAGGGGGTGCGATGGTGCGATCATGACGTGGTGTGAGCTAGACATCCAGGCGATACAGCGCTTGAAACGTTATCGGTGGACAGACACACAAAACGTGTACCACACGCTCGACTGTTACGTGGTTTTTGCCGTATCAAGTGGTGCCTTGTTTCGCTGGGCGCTACATGTCAAGCACGGGGATGCAAACTCCTGTTCAGGAATTGCTGATGGCTGAGTTCATGGGGCAGGGGACGAGTAGCTTTTCTAAGGCATCGATGAAACGCCTCTGAAAACTTGTGGGGGGCATTTTTGCCCACAGAAGATCCGGCTGTTTTTCTCACGACCAAAGCGGGTTACTTCGTTGGATCCGTTGGGTGTGGAGCCGTGAGCTTTCGTGCTACCCCTGCGCGGTTGCAGGAATAGCCACCACGTCAAGCCACCAGAAAGTGCCACCACTTGCTGTTTACATTTCCCCGAAGCGTTTGACAGGTGCCACCCAAAACCACCGACCATCGGCAGCGTTTCCGCTGCTCGCGTTGATTCGTACGCCTTTTCTTGTGATTGCGACACAATCGAAAGGGTCGCTCGCCCCTCTCCCCACCCCTTCTCTCCCAGGAAGGATCGGTAACATGTGTTCTACGCTTCCCCCCCGTCATCGCTCCCGTTGGCATTTCTTTTTTGATGAAAGTTCACCGTCAACTGTGCACCGCCCAAGCGTAGAATTCACACTTGTTCATCACACCCGCCAGCCCCCCAACCCGCTCCCTGACATCACTGTTGGGTTGCTTAATTTCCACTCCCCGTGAGCGGCAGAATCCAGTCTGTTACTTAACCCGCTGCAAAACAGATTCTTTCAAGGACGCATGTCCTGAAAGTATGAACATGATGCACGCCAACATGCGAACATGACTATCGCGTATGTTGCTGTGACTCCCTTCACAGCTGCCCCGTCGCACTCTCTGGCAAACGCTAGCCTTTGCCCCCCTCCGCTCTGTCGCTCTTCCCCAATGACGTGTGGTTTCCCTGCTGCCGTGGAATACTCGCCCTTTTCTCCGCCGACGTTCACGAAACACAAAATACTTGAATCTGAATCCGTGGAACCAACAGTGGTGGCTCTTTTCAACGCCATCAGCAAGCGCCAGAACGAAGGGGGCGCCTCCGCTGGTGGCGCCGGCGGCGGCAGCAGCGGTAACAACGTGGCAGCAACGGCCAAAGCGACCGTGGTAAAGGGTGCCTCGCGGCACGCCTTCTTGAACATGTTGAAAACCGGCGTCAAGCCCACCGGGGGCGCTGCTGAAGCAGCCGCTGGTGCGGGTGTTGGGTCTGGTGGAAAGAGAGGAGGTGGTAGCGCGGGAGGAGGAGGCGGAGTTGTTGGTGAAGGACACGAGGTACGAGGCGGAACCTGGGGTCGTGAGCGCATCCACACTGTGTTATCGATGCTCACGGCAGATGCGTTTTTTTTTTTGCCACATAAGTGCAGCACAACGGTGTGAATGTGAAACCACAGCAGCGCTCACTCAGTTTCAGATTCAGCTACTGGAGATTGTGCGCTCATACCTTTAAAGTGGTACTTTACGTTCTCACATCTGAATGGACGACGAGCTACGTATCGCCGGATATTATGCCGAACGTGTCCAATAGTTTGGGTGGGCTTCTCAGCCTTGTTTTTTCTCCTATTTCCGCTGGCGCCGCCCTAAAAACTTTTTGGCAGCGGAGAGAGTTTTCGTTTTTTCTGCTTGCGTCGTACCGGCGGTTTACACAATATAGCGGCTCGTGGGGTCTTGGCCTAGTGTTTCCGCGTCATTTGTTGCTTCGAAATATAGCCAAGCCAACTGCTCTATTCGGTAGCGCACGTGCGGCACTCCAACCCCAGGTTACGCCTGTCGCATAACCTGTCTCCGGTCTAGTAGAGTTGCTCTTTGCGCTGGTTTTGACGAATTATCCCCATTTCAAAATTGTGTGTTGCTCGATCGACGCTGCAAACTACCGAGTCCGTTTCCATCGGGTGGCTTGTTTGGGAAAGCAAGAGCAAACATACGCGCCCGCAAGTTTCAGTCTTCGCGACTGCCCTCATCTCTTGATTGCTAGACTTCCGCCCCTGATCACATAAGAAGCCGAACATGACTCCTGCGTTGCTGTCATCCTGCTATTTACGACCTACAAGGTTTACAAAGCCTCAGCTCACCGCAGGCTTTTATTCATTTTTATGTTTCGTCTCTACCGTTTTTGTATTCTATCTATCTACTCCGTTGTTTTTCTTTGCCCTAGGCTTACTGGTTATCTGCCTTCTTTTTGTTTGTTCTACATGGCCCTGTCGTGTACTGCGTGCAGGATGGAGGTCGTTCGTGGTCGGTGCTTAAGGAAGACTATATGATGGGTGCGAGCACGATGAAGGTACGCTTGCTCAATGAGCTTTTTCGATGGACGTGACTTTCTTGACAATGTGGAGCTTCTTCAGCGATAGTGCCTGGCGTTCCCATGTTTTTCTCAGACTCTTGGACGTACTTTGTACTCCTAGGTGAGATCAGTTTTCGCCCATATATAACTTTATTTCTCACCATACATTTGCCGAACAGACCAACGAAACGTAGGCGGCAAGAGTACAACTTACAAGCGGGTGGCTTTCGTGTTGTGGCGTTACCGGCATATTCATTACGAGGTTGCTTTTGTCCTCGCTTCGTCAACTGGTGAGGGTTGGCAATAGCCACTCTCGGCGCGGGCGAGTTGGTAATTGGAGCGACGGGTACATAGTGTCTTGCGACAGAGCTCGATGGATGGATGAGGCGCCTACACAAAGCGGTTGGATGACTTTGCAGCGAAGACCTGACCGGCGTATTTCATGTGCCAATACCGGGTGCCCGATGTTAGAAATTGCTTGTTGACTTTCCTTTGTGATAAATATTGATGTCGGGCTTTTCGATCCCGTGCGTGGAGGCAGAGAGACCTCTGCACATATCGAGAGACGGAAAACAAATGGGAAACGACGTCCGCAACACCTCGAGCACACTGGTCCGCGTTCAACGGAAAATACAACAATTGGACGCTGTTACGCAACCAACACGGTGTCGTGTTGAACTTGTTCCGCTCTCCCTTTCTCTCTGTCTCTGTCTCCCGGGTTCTCCTTTGTCCTCTTGGTATATCGCTGTTCCTCTTGTTGTGTGTCTGATGGCCTCACTGGTGCGGTGACCGGGCAAAACAAGAAACATCCCAGCCAGGCTAGAGTAGGGTGCTATAGTAGAAGTGCATTTCGTGTGCCTCGTGCTTCGGTGGGTTCGAATTATGCCGTAGCCTGTGTTTTCTGCAGCGGCGTCACCTGGAACTCGTTTCAAGGTTGACGCATGACCTGCGCTAAAACAAAAAACTAAAATGGATCAAATGTAGTAAAACACGCTCCCATCATACGGAAATGTTCTGGCTGCCCAGAGTTCAGATTTTCCGCGCGTTCGTTGCCCTCCCACGATACAACTCGAACACTCCGCCCAATCGAAACGGCTCATCCGGCGCCCTCTTATTGGCTGGGCAAGAGTGCCAACAGCGAAATGACTCAGCCCAATATGTAACGCTCGTAGCCTCTTCGTGTTGCACGCAAATCCGGTTGAATACAATCCTGACCGATCAGGCTTTCCGTTTGCCGTAGGTTTTGCACTAGGAGATTTCAATCATGTGTCCTTGTGGCTGCGATTGACGATGACCAGGTCGCCTCAAAACCCGCTCTGCTCGTCCGCAGTATATCTTCTTCGGCGCTTAACCAATTTGTAAGAAAAATAGTGTAGGTAAATCTTGGTGAATCTTGGTGGGCAACTACGATGGGATATGCAGCCATGTGATCGGTACGGAGTTACGGTGGACATCGTCTGTTCTCCTTTCAATTTCTAGTCACCAGCTCGGAACCCATGCATATGTTGAGATCGGCCCTTGCCTTGGTTACCTCTCGTAGAATGCAACTTTAGGTGTTGCATCTTTAGCGTCGTCTTTGTGGCATTCTCCCTGACACAAACGAAGAAGTGATTCCCAAACCTTGTTCGCTTGGCGTTGTGCGCGTTTTCGTTTCGTCGTCTCACACGCGGCATTTGTGTTTTCAGAACTGGGACCAGGACAGCGCGGACTCTGAAATAGACGCTATTGGGAGACCCAGCAACGATATGTCAGATGAGGACAGCGACTGACTCAACATTGTGGCGTGGTGGTGTCGTTCATGGGCATGTCAACGCGATCCCTTCCCTCTTTTGTAGTGCAACATCGGGTATGCAGTTGCTCTGTTTTGCTCTCGCGGTATACGGTGATTCTCCCACCATGTGCTGCGTACGTGGTGATGCACTGGTGGTCTTGTTTTCGCAGCGCGGTCTTGTGTCGTGTCGGAGCCGACGACGGCGTGGCAACAAAATTTCACCTTAAACGCCATCTCAATGTTGTTGTTGAGCTTTCCCTTTGTCCGGTTGGTGCCCTGGAAGGGTCGAGCAGTTCCTCCCGTTTTTTCTTTCACTCGAGAGTAAACCCACAACTTAAAAGGTCAGAAAGTTACGGGATCACCCGACTCTCAAGCTGTGAAGAAGCGGCATAAATTTTGCATTGTTGTGGCACTCATCGATAGCGCGGGCTCTACCGCCAGCTAGATAGCTGTTGCAGCTCGAGGGGTCGCTTAGAATCGTGAAGTCGAGGGTTAAGTGTGTTAGAATCAAGCCGCTGGCAAACTGGCTCCTCTGCGGCCGGAACCCTAACAGAGAATACCTACCCCACGATACTAAGGCAATACCTACCGCACTACTAGGCAGCTAGCATTTTTAGGGGTTGCTCAGATTGTTGAATCTACGTGCTGAAACAAATCCTCTCTGGCACCCATCGTCAGGTTTGGTTTTGATTTCGGTTTCCTTCATGTGATTTCAGCACTGCATGATGAGCTCATCGAGCTGGAGTTGTATCGTTGTTCATACTGACGGTGTTTCATGGAGGACCTTGCCCCCCCACACGGGTTGTTTTGCGTGAAACGTCGTGGCAACTGACCGCTGTTCTTGTCGCAACCTACAGCAAGCTGTTGTTAGATTTTGGGGAGGCCTGTTGAAGAATTCGTGGACGTGGATTGTTGGTGTTGGTCGTTTGGGGCCATACGACAGGAGGCGGTAAAGGCGAGCGTGTTGGATGACACCAAACGATATGCAAAAAAATTGAGCTGGGAATTGACCCGGAGGCCTCATCCTGATTGGCGAAGACCATCGAGAACCGTTTTTTGGTAGTTCAAGCGGAGGGTACCGCAATAGGTTCCTTCGAGACCCACGCATTCACAAGATGAGTGTTGTGAGCTACCTGGTTCACGGCTCACGTGCCAGGTGCCATGTGTTGGTGTCATTCAATATCCACGTGTTGGGCGGTGTGGTTCTCGTACCACTAGTGCTACCAGTGGCGTTTGTCGCATTCCGCCGACGCTACCGTGCGGGTGAATCGGTATGCAAACCTTTCTTTCTTTCCACGTGTGGCAGATTCATGCCCCGCTCGATTGCCTGCCCCTCATAAACGTCGTTGACGACGCCAAACATCCATATCCAACGAATGTTCAAAAATTCATGAAGCGCTCAGACCACGCTCATACACTAAATACAGCAGTGCCGGCAACTTGTAGGCGATTTTTGTTGACCGATCGTAACTTTTGGCTAAATTCATGGACTTCGACGATTCTTTCACGTACGTCTTGCCCGTGACGGCACCCACAAGACCCGGTGATGACTTTTTTTTGTGGGGTCGAAGCATACATTTTTCAAGATAAACATATGGGAAAAATACACTGAAGAAAAAAAATATATGGTAAAAAACAACGAAATAAAGACGAAAAAAAGAGACCCGAACCGAGGCCCCAAGTGCAACAAGGTGTAAAGGCAGCGCCTGATGTTGGCGCGGGCGATGTAGTGCTCGGTCGACTTCAGACATGTGCCTAGATGTAGGTGTAACCTTACGGTCATTTTCCGGTAATCGTTTCTAAAATTGCTCCATTAGTCTACTCCTTGAGTTATCACCATAGACTACACTCTGCTGTACCACCTCCGTGCTCCACGGGGCAGATCCCCGATTATTTCCAACCGATACGACTTGGAAAGCTTTACAAGCCGTACACTGCAAAGCTCTACAACGCCAGCCTCGGCACACGTTGCCGTGATGCACTTCAGAGGCTCAACCTGCACAGCAAAGGTCATGGCCTCGCGCCGCCGACCTTTTTTGTGTGCAGCCGTTCGCCATGATGTGGGCGGAAATAATCGAAAGTTCTTGAAAATGGTTCGGGACAACATCCGTTTCGGGGAATATTCCCGCCGCAGTAATTTCCGCCACTGGCTGGGTGTCTGGTTTCCATACCTGCAATTTTTTTCGGTGGGTTCGACGTAGTTGTAGAGAAATGAATGTTTTCGTGGAGTGAAATACTTTCTGTGGTGATGGTAATGGCTCCATAACGTCTGTCGTAGCACGAACCCACCGCTTTGGATTTTTTTGTTTGTTTGTCTTGACTTCAAATCAGCGCTCACAGCACTGGTGCCGTTCACTCCAACCCGTGATCACACAGAAGAGCCCCTCTCAACTCTCCCCTCCTGCGATACTTTGCCTTCGATTTTTAATGGGAGAAGAGTTCAGCACTCACTTCCCTCTGCTGTGTAGGTACATACCGTCCGTCCAGCGCAATAGTCAGGTTGGAGTGTTGCTGCAGTACACCGCTGACCCTTCTTTAGTTTGAAGCCTTGCCTGCGAGACTGGGGCGTCCAGAGTAGCAGAATAGATCACAAGTCTTGTGTTCATGAGACCCTCCTCTCAGTCTGCCACCTTTTCTTCAGAGTTTTCGCTCAGCTATCGGTAGATAACTCTGTCGACCCGTTCGGATCTTGAAATACTGGTGCAGCCGCTCCCCACTGGGGTGTGAAAAGCTGACCCACCAGCGGAGGCACACCCACGCGTTCGGTCTTCCCTCAGCACCGCCAAACGATCGGCACCTAAATGAGCAGTGGTGGCAGACACCAATGCACTGGATACAACCATGGGACCGCGCGGGGTGAAAAATTGCCCGACAACCAGCTCAAACAGAACTACGGGCCATTCGCTCGAGTGGACCGTTGTCTTTCTCCATTATCTCAGTCACATGTTTCATCCTGTTCCGCTTGCTGCAGGTGGCGTCTTTTGTTTGCTTCCCTCGTCCCACGCTCTAGACTAATAATACTGCTGTCTGGCGCGAGACACCATGCCTGTCGTAATGAGTCTCATGTGACGACCGCGCCAACAGCACCATCGCCTCGACTTCGCTCTCTGCTGCTGCTGCTGCTGCTGGCGTAATAGCGATAACAACTCCCATCTATTTCCACCCATCATGTATGTTGAGTTTTTCCAACGGCAAGAAGGGCGCATGGTCAAGACTTCCTGTTCTGTGGCCCCGAAAAATTACACCCACACCTTTTTTGACGACTGAAATCTTGTCTGAGGAACGACCTTCACGAACATGTATGAATGCATTTTCTTCTTTCTTCAACCTGTCGCTCTACCACAGGCAGGCAGGCGCAGCTTTCTGTCCCTCCAAGCAGCAACTCCGTAAATCCCTAGCGCTAACCCTAACCCTAACCCCAAACCAACCCAATAGGTGCTAGGTTGACATTAGGTGGCTCAGTTCTGTGTTGTTGTGCCTGCATTAGGGCTAGGTTAGCGCCGCGTGGTTCAGTTCTAGGTTGGTGTGCCGGCGTTGGGCTAGGTTGGCGCTGGGTGGCTCAGTTCTAGGTCGGTGTGCGGCATCTGGCGCTAGGTTGGTATTGATGGGATAATCTCTAGGTTGGTATTTATTTGTTTGGATATGTGCTAGGTTGGTGTTTATGCGATCGACCCTGGGTTAATATGGCTTGCATAGGTGCTAGGTTGGCGTTGACGGGGGTAGGTGCTAGGTTGTGTGGGCCTAGGTCGCTCTATTATTATAGCTTGGGCGGTTCTGTCGGTAAGAAAAGGTGTGGGTGCGTGGCTGATGTGCGTCCCCATGGGTGTATCGAATATTTTTCTGTGTAGCCGGAAAGCGGGCACCAGGTCTGCTGTTACTGCTATGCTTTCACGACCGGAAGGGATTCGGTCACGGCGGGTGCATGTGTTTGTATGGATGGATTTTGCGGGACTTGGCTGAGTGTGACGCCTCTGTTTATTCTGGGTTTGGCTATGCATAGCTGGCTTTAATTCGCACGTGGCATCTCCACTTTGGTGTTCCCCCTTTACCTCGACAACTCCCAGTATTTGGATGAGGTGCCTCCTATAAGTTTTGGGACACATGCCTCTCTACCACGGCTATCTCTTGATGGAGCACCACGAAACCGGTGCGACGAAGAGTGCCCTATTTTTCTGCCTCCTCAGAAGCCAGCAGATCTTCCATTAGTGCTGCGTAGAATCTGATCTTGTTCTGGTCGAAACAGAGGGCAATTTTGGTCTCTCGGTAGTCACGTTTGGGCCCCTGTATCCCCGTTGGAAGCGCCCGACATTCGGAGACTGGGTTTCCCTCCTGGCATGAAGCCGAACACGGTCGCGGTCGTCACCGCTCCGCGGCTTACTATTATTCACCAGTCGTTCCAGAAGGTGCACCAATGTTGAAAAATGTCGGAGAAACATGAGGACATAGACTAGAGGAGCTCGAGGAGACTCCCTTCTCTCTGATGTACGGGGCCCGCCTCTTGGTTTTGCAGTAGAGGCCCCAGTTGCAAGACCTATGGGTGACAACCACTGACTGTACCTTCCCTCTCAGCCTCGGCAACTTCGTGCTGTGTACAGTACCAAGATCCCGTGTCCTCCCTCTCACCCATTGCCCCCCTCCTGACCTCGCCAGTGTCGTCTGTACTGCTGACAGACAGGTTGAAAAGACGTGGCGATGGCGAGAGAAAAAATGACGATCACATCGGCGACGCTTAGACTCGCGTCTTCGAGCCTGAAAGCCATCGGTGAAGTCGTGGCTCGTACGACGGGTGTTGGCGCCCTTCCTCTATCTCAAGCAACTGAAATGGTGTCTCAAGCAGCCAGCCTCGTCAAGACGGAGGCAGTCAATGTCTTGATTGAGGTCGAGGCGGGCGAGGCGGCGGCTGACAGGGCGGCTGCAGCGGTATCGGCGGCTCAAGCGACAAAGGGAGCGGCTGGAGCAAAATCGGCAGCGGCGAAGGCGGCAGTCGAAGCGGCAGAGGCGGCGCAGCAGCAGCAGCCTTGGAAGCGGATCTTGAGCCAGTTGTGGCAATGGCGGACAAGTATGCGCTATGTTGACTGGCCGCTTAGCGTATTCGCTTGAGTGGTGCTGCTCGTTGTTGTCACAAGTCGACCTTTTTCAGTTTGGGCTATACGAGTCACGCGGCACTGCCTTCTCTGCCTTCTCACCTTAACATTATCATATGCTTTGCGCTTGCAGCCTTGCCGCGGCATGGCGTACTTCAAAATAGTGCTGTAGAACTGGCCGCGCGCTGCTGTGGCTGTATGCGGTTATTGTGATGTTGTGCTGTCCATCTTGTTCCAATGGCCAAATTCAGGAGAATGACAAATGGAGGCAGCAGCGACAGGGTGAACCAAGGTGCGCAAAGACTCTGAGTACCTAGGCAGTGTGGCGGAATGTACCGTGGTTGAAGGTTGACTACATGGACATTCCTCGGGAAAAGTTTTGCAGTCCGTTCGGGCGCCGTAACATAGCACCGCAATTGCCGCCTTGAATGGTTTCGCTTGAAGTTGCTGCCATATGGCGTTCATTACCGCCGTGAAATATCGCCGTGGTGGGCGGTACCAGGATACCGCCGTTTTACCGACGTTATTTTTACCTCTGCCAAAGTCGTAATCACCGAAAAACTCAAATACCACCTACCACCAAAATTACCGCCGTATGGCGTTACCGCCAAAAAATTCCGCCGTTTTTCTGTTGCACCGCCTCCGCCAAAGTCGTTACCGCCCAAAAACTATTATCCGCCTACCGCTGAACTAATTGCAGCGATATGGCAATACCACCAATCAATATCCGCTTCTTTCTTTTGTTGGCCTCCGCCAAAAGGTGTTCTCGCCTGCCGCAGAAAACATAAATTACCACCGAATGGCGTTGCCGCCGAAACTATGTCCGCCTAATAGATGTTACCGAGTTACCCTTGGTATATTCGGTAAGGATCTGTAATCCTAGAAATCCGGAAAATTGTAATCGCAATGACTATTTATCAGCGAGACCGTACCTTGCACTCCTGCCATCCGAAAACAAAACATAAACAGCTCGCTTCGGACGGCAACAAACACCACATACGTGATGATGATTCGACACTTGAGTGAGTTGTTTGTTTTTTTTGTAGCCCTAAGCTTCCCCACAAAAATTCTGGTATACAATATTTCGTGCTTTTGTTCTTTGCGCGGGGAATGGGGCAATGACTGTAAGCACGACTCCCTGATCCACAACGTACGTATTCGTACATTGTGTGAATGATCATCTGTCGGCCAACCCCCCAGGTGTTTTGCCGCCACCCGGCTTTGTGGATTTGCTTTGGGTTACCAGCTCTACGATAGAATCATCCAAGCGCCGACCGACGGGCTCCGCTCCGGAAGGATCGAGAGGTGAAACGGGGGCGGCGGCAACATCCAAGGTGGCGAAACAGGGACAGGGTAGTTGCCAGAACACGGGTGTACGAAGTGGCCGTGTTTCGGCAGAGTGGGCACCACGAAACGGGATTTCTGCTCTAAGCACGCGAACTAGGGCATGGCCGTCGTCAAAGGGCCGCACATTCAGGTTGTACCGAGTTTGCAGCCTTCGGCATGAATGGCAGCGAGCAACGTGACTTCTGTAAAAGACACGCGAAGCCAGGGATGGCAACATTTTGATCGTGCCAGTCAGCAGAGGTTACGAATCGAAGTATAGTTGTTTGGGGGTGCTCAGCAGTAGATTCGTGTTTTCGGAGATCTAGGTGGCATACTTTTCAAGAGGAGCGGTCCCCTTTCTCCATGAGTGAACATGGGCGCCCTCCGCACTCGTTATTGATAAAAGGTCTTGAGGCAACCTTCTTCTCTGTGGTTCTGACAAGACAATCAGATCGCCATTTTTTAATACCGAATATGACACAAGGTAACACACCCCGGTGATAGCATTTTGGGCTCTGGAAATATTATCACCGGGTGTGGTATCCTGTGGGGGGTGTGGTATCTTGTGTACCCCGGGTGATAAAGTGAAGCTCGCAGGGTCCCTAAGGGGGTGCGATAGCGCGTCCGAACACCCACAGGGTGTGTTTGGAGGTGCGATAAATGAGGGTGTGTGATAGCACGTCCGATCACCCACAGCGTGTGTTTTGGGGTGCGATACAGTTGAACCGCTGCTGCCGCACACTTAAAGGGGTGTGGTATTGCGGGGATGTGACAGCAATGCCTGCACGAACACGTGCAGTTGCCCCGTACTGTAGGGACCTACCAAAAGTACTGAACCGCGGGGCGTGGAGAAACAAAGGCGCTCAATCAACCGAGGTGACGAAACTCCTGAGCACATGACCTCGGCGATAACTCAACCCCCTCAATGCCATAGAAAACTTCAAAAAAAATACAGGCTTGAATGGAGCATTAAAAAATGGAATATAAATCGAAGGTACCTCGCCCGATACGATAATTGGCGGTGGCCACAAAGTGCGCCATCCACCCTGCCGCTCTCACAAGAAACGTTGACTGCTGCGTACCTTACTTTGGATACGACCAAAGGAGAGTAACGCAAAGATACCAGGACCAAAAATCGAAGATCACAACCCACAAATCTGCACTACGAAACACAACAACGTTGTACTCCACGCGGTGAAGAACACAGCCGACAGTCTCTTCACATTCGCTCAAAGACGACGAAAGAAAGAGAAACGCACGCCAGGAAAAATGCGAGGAGACATGAGAACGAACGCCACGAGCCATTTTCTCAACACCAGCATCGCTGCCGATGCCTCACAGCTCCTCGCCCTCGTCGTCGCTCACGTCCACCACCATCACGCCCGTGTCGTCATCATCGTCGATGTCCAACACCTCCAGCAAGTTCTCGCCTCGGGACGACGAGTCAGCCTTGTCCGCAGCGCTCGATGGCGCTCCGATGGGCTCCCCCTGGGCGTTGGAGCCGAGCTCCTTGTTGGCCCAGGCCTCGTCTCCCGACCCGTCCAGGGGAAGCAGCAGGCCAGCCTTCCTCCAGCTCGAGCGAGTTTCATCCGCGGTCAAGGCATCCCACAACTTCTTGACCCACTGTGAGACCAACCCCCGCGGAGGGGGCTCCAGGTAGCCCCTGTCGTTGCGTGTGACGTCCTTGGAAGCCACGTGGTCGTCGTAGAGCCTGGACATGTTTGCCTTGAAGATCTTGTNTCGCTCACGTCCACCACCATCACGCCCGTGTCGTCATCATCGTCGATGTCCAACACCTCCAGCAAGTTCTCGCCTCGGGACGACGAGTCAGCCTTGTCCGCAGCGCTCGATGGCGCTCCGATGGGCTCCCCCTGGGCGTTGGAGCCGAGCTCCTTGTTGGCCCAGGCCTCGTCTCCCGACCCGTCCAGGGGAAGCAGCAGGCCAGCCTTCCTCCAGCTCGAGCGAGTTTCATCCGCGGTCAAGGCATCCCACAACTTCTTGACCCACTGTGAGACCAACCCCCGCGGAGGGGGCTCCAGGTAGCCCCTGTCGTTGCGTGTGACGTCCTTGGAAGCCACGTGGTCGTCGTAGAGCCTGGACATGTTTGCCTTGAAGATCTTGTTGACCAGGCCATCGCACGGCTGGAGCTTTGGAGTCAGGCCTCCCGGGATGAGGAACATCGTCGTGTTGGACTCCTCCATCGCCTTGGTAGACGCGTAGGTCTTGTGGACGGTGTACGCCAGAAGCGTGTCAGGCTGACGGTAGCCGCCCAGGCGGCCC